TTTATAGGATCTCCATGGACATGTGATCGAAATTCAGACATTTGGCAACTGACTCATATTTATGATGGTGATAGTGTCTTGGGGGTCATATGATCACCTTTTGTGATATTCTGACAAGCAAAGTCAATGAGGAAGCCAGGTTTACTTAACAACCATGTTACTAATTTAAAAACTGTAATGATTCACTAAGCAACTGTGGCAAGAAAGTTATGAAAAGAAGCAAAATTCACTTAACAATTATCTCAATTATCAACAGAAATCTTGGGCTCAATTGTGATTGTAAACTGAGGACTACTTGTAGTTATCAGAAGTATGTATTTCATTAGGAGGAAACTGGAAGCATTGTGGTGAGACTGGCTGGGAAATAGTGGGGTCTGACGAGCCCCATGAAAATCCAGCCAGACAAACCATTGTCGGGGGGTCTTCGGACTGGAACCGTCCTGTAGGGACGGTGAAGAAGGAGAGGTGCCTCGGACAACCAAGAGGAATAGACAGAGGCAGCTCTTCGAACCGGCGGTGGGGGTGGGGGCCATTAAAAACGATTGGTTTGAAGCTGGGGCAACTGGAATAACATTTTGTGCAGGAGCGGTGTCTGAACGGAGTATTGGTACCGGGTGAGTGATTGGCCAACTCATGGGTAAAATTATGGGAGCGAGTGGGCGCTCCCATGTGACACCTCTCCTGCGCGAGCTGCATTGGCTCCCGGTGGACTTCCGGGTGCGCTTCAAGATACTGGTTACCACATTTAAAGCGCTCCATGGCATCGGACCTGGGTATTTGCAGGACCGCCTTCTGCCGCCAATAGCCTCGCACCGGCCAGTACGCTCCCACAGAGAGGGACTCCTCAGGGTGCCGTCAGCTAGGCAGTGTCGGCTGGCGACCCCCAGGGGGAGGGCCTTCTCTGTGGCAGCACCTGCCCTCTGGAACGATTTGCCCCCGGAGATACAGAGGATATCAGATCTCCGGGCTTTTCGCCATGCCCTAAAAACTTTTTTCTTCCATCAAGCAGGGCTGGCGTGAACAACCCCCCCCCATTTTTGAGATATTAGATTTTTTAATTGTTTAATGGGTTTTAGTTGTAAGGTTCTTAATGTTTGGCCAAAGGGTATAATTCTTTTAAATTTTTAAATTTTGTATTGGATGTTTTTTACTTGGCTGTGCACCGCCCTGAGTCCACTAGGAGAAGGGCGGTATACAAATTTAAATAAAATAAATAAATAAAATAAAAAAGGAAATTTAAATTTTAAAAAAAACTTTAAAAGGTGTCCTGGTGAGGAAACGAGTGGCTAATTGGCACTTAAGAATTTTAATGGAGGGAGAAGAACAAAGAGGAAGTTTAAAAAAGAAAACTTAATATTTGGATTTAAAATTGGATTTGGAGAAATCAAAACTAATACAAGAAAAAAGAAACCCTAGGGAAAGCACTTTTTAATGAGGATTTGAAGTATTTTTGACAGTTTTGATATTTAAGGAAGAAGAAGGAGGAGGGTAAAATATTAAAGCCCAAGAAAGGAATTTTTACAACTGGATTTAAAACTGAATTTGGAGAAATTAAAAACAATAAAAGGAAAAGAAATTTGAGAGAAAGTATTTTCTATGTGGATTTAAAATACTTTTGTAAGCTTGATACTTTGTTGTTCTGAGAATTGTGGATTGGAGAGAGACATCTTGCTGGTGGAAAGAAAGCACTACCGATTGGCCTGAAAATGGAAAGAAATAACCAACAGTGACCTTGAAGAACTGAGAGAAACTTTAAGGAATATTTGTTTCTTTTTAAACTACTCGGTCTCGACTTTCAAAGGAAGTAAAAAACAATAAAGTTTTAAATTGGAGTGGATTGGACAAACATTTTTACTGGATATTATCTGGAAATAAAAAAGAGATCATATGGACTTAAATCTTAATTAAATATAAGTTAAAATAATAATTTTTTAAACTGACAATATGGAGTCTTGAATGTGTGAGGAATTAATTGAGATGCTTAAAAACGTGTGTGAATCAATAAAGGGCAATAATATTTATTGTGTGTGAAATATTTATTGTGTGTGAAATTTATTAGTGTGAAATATTTATTTATTTGAAATTTGTGTGTTCTAACACACGTTAGAACACACAAATCAGGAAAAATAATATAAATGAGAAGCAAGAAAATAATATTGAAGGAAAAGGAATCGAAAGTAAAAAGTTAGATGATTACACTGGGATTTACAGTGGCAAAAAAAGAATGGATGGGGGGAATATTTTCCAAAAAAGAATCAATCAAAGGGAAGAGAAGGAAATGGAAAAAGATTAGGTAAAAGCTTGGGGAGAATTATGCGAGTAATAGACTCAAAAGTTAGAGAGAGGATGTAGGAGAAAAGATACAATAAATATAAAAAGAAGAAGAAGATAAGAGAATGGGATGGAGGGAGAAAATTATTAAGAAGTGGAATTTTAAAGAGACCAAGAGAAAATGGTTAAAAGAGGAAGAATAGTGGAAAGGAGGAAGGAAAATAAGGTATTAGTAGACCTAAGGGAACTGTATTAACATTAGTAATTGTGAATGTAAGAAGTAAATATGATGATGTATACTGTGTATTGTAAAATGGAACAGCAAATGAAATATGAAGTGGTAATTTGGTTCAATCATGAAAATAACTGAAAACAAGAGACAAAATTGAAATGTAAAAAAGTGATGGGGATTTTGAAATAATTTGTAAATGATGAAATAAAATAATTGATGCTATAAAAATCAGGAATTAAGGGCAGATAGTGATATTGCTTATTATGTACTAAGAAGAGATTAAGATAAGATGTGGAAGGTCAATTAAGTTAAAGGGTTTCAATGTAAGAATTGAATAAGATGAAGTACATTGTTTATAGTCAAAAAGTGTGATGGGGATTTTGAGAAACACACAAATGGAGGAATAAGAATTAATTGAAGTAATGCTAAGAAATTAGGATTTAATTGTGGATGGTGATATTGTTCATATATTATGTATTAAGAAGAGATTAAGATAAGATAAAAAAAGTAGGGAAAAAGAATATTATGGCAGAAATTGAAATATGTAAATTGTATTTGGAAAAAACAAAAAAGATTGAAATAGATTATAAAAATCAATATATAACTATGTTATAAGTTGTATAAGCTGTGACCTGCTCAATACTTTGTTCATAAAATATGTATGTGGAAATTTTTTTTTAATAAAACCTGTTCAAAAAAAAAAGAGTATGTATTTCATTAATTGAAACAATTTCACTGGTGGCTGCTCCATTTTTTTAAACTTAATATAAAGGGCTGGTCAGTAACCTTGAAATCCTAAATGACTTGAAACAATTAAACATGACTATAGTATATCTTACATACTAGCTGTCCATATACTTAGATCCCTTAGATCAGGGGTCCCCAACCCTGATTTAGTCCACTAAATTAGTCCACGGACTGTGGGGGACTGGTCTGCACAAGCAGCAGATGAGTTCGCGAAGCTCCAATTGTGGAAGTGGCGGGTGTGCATGAGAAACCATCCCTTCCACCCCTGCCAGCACCACCAGGCCACAGAGCCAGAAAAGTTGAGGACCACGGCCTTAGATGTTCTACTAACTACATGACAACTGGTTGGGATTGCAGTGGCTGTTCCTAGACTTTAAAATTCTCTTTCTACAGAGCTACATCGCATATTCATAGTGAATTTTCCAACAAAATAAAAAATCGTTTGTTTTATATCTAGTTTATATTTTCAAAATGAACAAAATAGAGCCTTGATGGTACAGTGGTCTAAGCACCCTGTTATTAACACAGCTGCCTGCAATTACTGCTGGTTCGAATCTCTCCAAGGTTCAAGGTTGACTCAGCCTTCCATCCTTTCTAAGGTAGGTGAAATGAGGACCCAGTTTGTGGGGGCAATAAGCTGACTTATTGTTTTTTGAATTGTTTTTCATTGTCATTTAGCAAAAGCAGATTTTAAACTGAAATTCCTATTTCACATATAGTATGATGAAACCAAGAATCTTAGAAGCTAGATTTGATTTGATTTCTCCTCCATCCCACAGACAATGGTGAAAAGGGAGAATGTTTAAGCCAGGGGTTTTATATAGGCATCTTCTGCTGGGAAGAATTTAGCATTACATGAAAAGTGTACCAAAACATAGAGCTTCTACAATCTAGAACTTTTTTATCAGTGATCTTGTGAGTGATTCAGTGTTCAGATTGTTTGACAGAAAAGGCAGATAAGAATTAAGAATGGGACAATATACCATAGAATATTAGTCTAAAGAGAGCAATGTATTAAATCAGTATTCTTTTTAACAAAACCTTGTCCCAAATGAAAATATTCCAGATTTCTAAACTCTACCTTGAAAGTCTGTACAGATTCCATATCCAATGAATGCTGCTACAAAAGGGAGAAGATAAATAAGAAGAACCTTATAACTTTCTAGTATTAAAAATTGAGCTAACTACTGCCATCAAGTAATAACTTTTATATCCAACTACAATATCAGCTGAGCAGTTAAAGAAAAACAGCAAAGGGAAACCACTGTTCACTCAGGCAGTGGCATAACTGTCTCTCTTTCCAATAGTCCAGTATTCTGATACATCTTATTTCTAAAGAGTCCTAACTATGATTTCCATTCACAGGACATCAAGCCACTATAAAAAATATCAGAAATGTACAGTAATTAAGCAATTACATATTTACTGCATCAAATAAAGCTACAACCTACAATACAGCTTTGAGAACCTGCTTCTTCGGAGTATATTTGCTATGCTGACCTTCACACTGTGATAACAAAATAGCAAACAAGTGTAAATTTGGTCAATCACTAATTTATTATATCAAACAATTGCTGAAAGAATTAAATTACTGGGTAAATTAGCTAAAACCTACTACCCCACATTCTGTACTGAAAGGATGAAATACATGTACAATTTTGAATTTTGAATGTACAATCCTGTATTTCCAAAGTGTATTTAAATACAGTAGTCTATAGGAGGCAACATAAAAATCTAAAAAGTAATTTACCTGTAAAGTAGCATAATTTGAACCAAAGTAAAACTTTGTCCAAATTCCAGTGGTTTCAGGTGATTTGGTGAGGATAATGACAACATTATTAGGTGATACATTAACTTCACTTTCTGGAGAAGATAATTTATTTTCAGGAAGAAACTGCAATAGGAAACTGTAGGAAATAGAGTCTCTGTTTGCAAAATTCACCGAGTAGTAATTTGTGCCCACTTCCCCTTGGAAACTCAGGGGAACAATATCTGGAACCTGTAAGAGGATCACCAAAGACTTTTCATCTTGAGTACAGTTAAAAGGAGGACACAGAGCGCTGGCAGGAGATATTGAAGGATCAGGAATGCAAGTAGAAGTTATATGAGTATCTACAGCAACTTCAAGCTTTTGTGAAGACTGAACTGAAGAAACAGTGGGTCTCTTTCCAGGATATAAAACAGAATGTTCCACGTGGTTAGTAGTAGTTGGGTTTGCTGTATCTGAGTTTCCAGAAAACTCTGTACTCTGATCTAGATTGTCAGTTGACAAAATTGTCTCCGAATGATCCAAGCTATCAGAGGGCCATTTACACGGGATTGTGCTGTTATCTGGACACAATGGGAGTTCAACATTAGCGATGTTGGGATTTTTATTAAGTTCCATGTCGGTACAGAGATGTTCCTGATTTAAAGAAACAGCAGGATCTGTATGGAGCTTCCAAGTGTGGTCAGTATGCAGAGAGGTGGAAAGGGAATCTAAGCCGGTACCTTCAGGCTGTGCACCCAAGATCACGTTGTTACTGCTTCTGGTTAAATCCGGATCCCCTTCACTATTGTTCTCGCTGCACACGGGAAGTGCAGCACTAAATTCAGAAGCACAAGAAACGACGGGGTGTTCTTCTCCCGCATGCATCGAAAACTCCAGATTGTTACGTCTAGGGCGTTCGTGGGCACTGAGCGGAACTGGGCCGTTCAAGTCAGAAAGTAAAGCAGCATCCACAGCATCATTGGTTGCAGCAACAGCCAAAGAGGGCGTCGGAGTTATTTCTACGTCGGACGCAAGAACGGGAAGCGGCTGCTCAGAACAGCTGGTCTTTTGACACACTTCCGCACCGTCCTTATCCGGGCTGATGCAGCTGTCTTCTGGCAGCTGCTCCTCGTTTTCCGGCGAAGCCTCGATTTGCTCCTCCGCAGCTTGAACGCTGAAAGGAAACCCCGGGTCAGGCTTCCGCGAAACCGGCAAGACGACCACCAGTTGTTTCTTGGCTTTGTTGAAGGTGGCCCGGCCACGGCTCTCGTCCACTGCGTAGGGCAACGGGACGCGCAGATGGTAGGCAGCAGGGCGCTGCGAGTCCAGCTGGAGTTCCTGGCCAAGGATCTCCAGCTGGGCCTGGGCGGCAGAGCTGAGCAACGGCAGTTCAATGGTCATCACCAACTCGCGGGGGATCGGGCTAGGCGTGGAGTCCCGGCTGTTGCGATAATCCTGAAGGTCGACGTAGGAGCGGTGCCGGAGACTCCATTGCGGAGTAGTGGCAGACGGGGGTTGCTTGGGCGGAGGGGGTCTCGGAGCTTCGTACTGCGGGCTGGGCGGCGGATAGGTGTAGGGCGAAGGGAAAGGCGGCAAGGGGGAATCGTCTGGCTCTCCAGCCTCTTCTGGGGACGGTCGAGCTCCTGCGGCCAGCGGCGTCCGGAGCAGCGTGGCCTGCGGAACGCCCTTATACTTGATGCGGTTGAGGGGGACGGCGTTCGTGCGGTCCAGTTGCGGGGAGAAATTTTTCTCTATCGCCTCCAAGGCCGTGTCGTTCACCAGGCGGCGGAATTGGGTCATGCGGCCGGCCAAGCTCAGGGTGCGCGGGTGGAAGACGACGTCGTAGACCAGGCGGCGTGGCCCACGCGGCTGTTTGCGGCTCAGTTCCTCGCGGCCCGGTGCTAAGGAGTGTGGCAGTAACCAGCAGGAACCTCCAGGCTCTGGCCGAAACTCCGGCCTCCCGATTAGCCGGTTGCTGCAGATGTTGATGTAACAGCGCCGGCTACCACCCTGGCTCGTGCGCAGGACCCAACCGGGTGTGGGGTGGAGGAAGCGGGCTTCGACGCCCCGCTGCCGCTCCATAGCTATCACTTCGACCTCATAAATGGCCCTTTGTTCGGGATCGTTCAGTTCGGCCACGTATTCCGCGAAAAGAGTGCGGAATCCCTCCTCCTTGAAAGCGTTCGTCAGGCACTCGGCTTCTTCTCCTGTCAGATTCAAGTCCTCCAGGCCTAAATGGTTCGTCATGCCTGCAAAGCGGGCTTCGTTTCTTTGTTCGGCCGGCTCGACAGACAAGTTGCTCAAAGGGAGACGTCCTGGTCCCTGTAGATACCAAATCAAACGATGTGGCGGTTGCTAGCGCGTTTGTTGCCATGGAAACGTTCATAACAATATGGCGGGTCTGGTCTGTTGCCATAGCGACCACGGTAAACGGAATGGCGGTTCATCCCCTTTTGGAAGCGCTCTTGAGAGCGTGGACCTCTTTATGGCAAAGGGATCTTTGCCGGAAAATATAAGGAACGGGATCAGAGCCAAATTATTACAGATACTTGACAACGGATTAGGAACCTTCCAAACAACTGCCAAACTAAAATAGGAAAACAACTCAGCAGCAGGTGTAAAGTTGCCTGTCTATTAAGTGTAATAAGTCTTTTTAGAATCCAAACATCAAGTTTTGTTACCCCTGAACGTTTTTGGGGTAGTGCAGCAGAATAGACTCGGCCCTCAGTTCTCTTATTTGCCTAGAAGACAAGAAATAAGCTGCTGGTATCAAGAACAGCTATTGTATCTGTTTTATTTCAAATACCTTCCTTCCTTGGCTGAATATTCTAAAGAATATCCAGGTTATCTGCTTAATACTAATCAGAAGTTAAATAGATTTTTTGCTTTGAATATTTTGAAAGTGAGGAGCAGTAGAAAATATTTCTTTTTGTAAGAATAAAGTTAAATTATTTGAAGTATAAGATGTGACACATGAATATCCTTATATAAAAATGTATTTACAAGATATATAACAATACATAAGTTATATTAGCTATAACATGATGTTACAATCATGATCCTAAATTTAAAACAGTTGTACTTCAGTCATTTCAAGGCCAGAAACTGGTTTATTCTTCTTGCTTGAGATTTAGAGACCGTGGAGTTTGCTGAAAATTTAAAACAAAAAACAATGTTAATGTTACTTGTAACTACATTGGCAGTCTTGAAACCAACATAGTACTTCTTTTCTTAAAGTATTTAAAAAGCATTTACTTCTTTATCCTTTATTATGACTTGATAATGCAAAACATTATCAATTTATTTATATATCTGACTGAATTATTCATACATATATTTTGTCCTGGAACATAACTTTCAGAAGTCAGATAACAATATTTAAAAATCCCTACAGAAGCAATCTACTATATTCAATTCAATTACCGGTATTCAAACCAGATGGAAGGAAAGGCAACTCAGAAAACACATTTTTTAAAAAACCTTCAACATTTATACACTAAAGCCACTTGTTTTTTTATGGTATGAGGTTCACTACCTAAGAGACCTGTGAGAAAAATCATAATATCCAATTGGGTCTGTGTAATAGTACTCTAATAAAATGGTGCCAAACTATTAAGATAGTAAAACTCAAGCCCAGCATTTCATAACTGCTACAGAATTGGTGTTCCGTTTTGATTGTTTGCTTTCAACACAATCTATCAAGCAAATTCTGTATCTTTCTAAAGCAGTCCCATAGTATACCTAATCTGAGTATAGTTAGAAATCATTAATAATGCCAAAATACATTATTATCTCGGGTATCTAGGGAAAGGACACCATTAACCTTGTTTATCAGCTGACATTCTATGGATGTATTTAATAGAGAAATACTGTACCATTATCAAATTCAGAAACAGGCTGAACATACTTATTAGTGCTCACAATGAGAATTCTGTTTTTTAAGTTTCAATCCAAATATTTCTCTATTGAGATAGTTTTGTAATTTGATTTAGGACTTTTAGGATTGATGTCAATAGATCATTTGCCTCCCTATTCTATTACATTAGGGTACAAATAGCTCAAGACGCTTACGTTGCAGAAGCCAACTCAAAGGCCTAAAAATGGCCATCCAGTTCTTCAGGGGTTATAATGAGCTTGAAAATCGATCAGGCAATAATTTACACCAATACAATTATGAATACATGAATCATTTTGCCCTAGCAGAATTCCAGATCCACTGGGAACCCTCCCAAATATGTTCAGCTTGGTATCATTATGGAACAGTGTTGTTAAGAATTTAAGTCCCAATATGGTGTACATTAGCTCTTCAGTCATGTTAATTATAGTTAATAGCCTGCAAGACATATTTGGAAAAGGTTTCTACATTTTACCCACCTAGGTAACATGAGCCACTGTTATCATATTGCTCCAGTATCATTTCATTAACAGTAACTGTTTCCATATTATCAAATCTGCATTTATTTATAGCATTTTCAAATATAAACTGAAGACAGGCTACCTTTACTACTGAGCGCAGGCACCATGCAGTCTGAAAGGAGAGCCAGCAAAAGATGTCTCACTACCTTATCCTTGTCAGAGCTGTGCCCTTCAGCACAATAACAACTCCTTCATGTTACTGTTCTTAATAGCTTTTACCTCTACATTCTTATTAATTTCATATTATACCTATATAAAAAGCACATTTATTTTATATAATTAATAGTGATAGAGCTGGAGATACAAAATAAAAATGGTGATAATTTATTTTGTCAAGCTATGTTTATTCAATAATTCTACAACCATCAAGGTATATCTGTTTTTATCAGACAGCATGAAGAACAGTAAATTAGATGTTCTTGTATACTCAGTAATTTTTCTTTAAAAAGTGACCTTACCTGTCTTCAACAGTTTTGCTAGAGGGGTAGAATACTTTGAATGAAAAGCCGCTTCTTGGAAAAGATCCCTGGTATTTAAGAAAAACATCGTAGGAAAAATTTTCATCCATGTCACCTTCTTGAATATACGTCTTTTCTTTAAGCATAATTTTAAAATACATACCTAACATCTCTAAATATAATTTCAAATACATCATGCGGTAACTCTTTATTAGTGAAAATTAATATGACATAAATAGTCATTACAAATGTATTTTTTTCTTTTATTTTCTGTCAACAAGAAATACTTTTAGCCTATCTTAAAACATTTGAAAGTAAGATGGATGCTCTGACAGAAAGATTATTTTTAATGATAGAAAATACTACTATGCTTCATAATGCTGCAGATAATATCTATTATGAGCAACAACAATAAAAGTCCACAACAAATACTATCTGGAGGATTTGTTAGTCTGAGATATGAGCAGCTTTGTTATTTCTAATATATTTTGCTTGTTAGAAACATGTTTTCATCATTGTTTGAGGATGGAAAAATATAAGCAAGGTCTTACCGGATTTATACAAAGGCAATCGGTGTTGGTTACAGTGAATGGGTCATATTTGTCAGCAAAAACAATTAGATCTGGCAAAGGATAGGTTCTCAAGGTGTAGTCATACGCCCAATAGACAGGGCTGACATTAAGAGGCAGTGGAGTCAGATGTCCTTGTGATAAAATAGTTTTTACAAACTGAAAGATGAAAAACAGTGCTATTAAATTACATATGAAGGTAAACTTCATATAATAAAATAGAACCCCTCAGCACAGCATGAATTATTGCAAATAAATAACTACAGATTTCAAAATTGATTTTGTCCTGTTTGTTGATCAGTAAAATATGTTTGTTAACAGACCTGATTGGTTTACCAGATTGTGGAACCAGATCTAAGATTTGTTTCAATTCCCTCAGTTTTGAAGGAATGTGAGAACACTATTCTGAGCAATATTGTGAGATTCCCTTAAAATTACACCATCTAAAGCAGAGTGATCACCATGCAGAGCTGGTGAATAGCTGCAGAATATTTCAATGAACCATTCTTTGCTGGGAAAATTATTCTCCATTTTAGTTACCTTAATCCATATTATCTTTTAATATAGTTATTCCACTAAGTTACCCTTTCCATTCTGTCTCTCATTTTCTTTGCATTATTTCCTGCACAAAATCTTTGTAAACTTGTTTGGTTATCTGCCTAAACCATTACCAAATCAATAAGAATTTCAAGCAAGGGAAATACCTTCCTCCTATACTTCCTTTAATTTCTTAGCCAATTAAAACCCCTCAACCCAAACTTTAATTCAAAATATTGAATGCTTTTTTGATCTTACATGATTAGGAATATCCAAACTACTGTTAGGGAAACGGACACAGTTACGGCACATCTTGTTTACCAAGTCTTCCCGAAAGATTATTATTTCCTGTGTACAGTACTGGACTCTGAAAGTAACAAATGCAACTTTTATCTCTTCTGAGGGATCACCAATAACCCAAAGAGAATTTACTATTAAGCCAAATATGCCAGCAGCTCTGTCCCAAATTTTTGTATAGATTTGTTGCTAAGTAATAGAAATAAGTGGTCTCTATGTACCTGCAACCTCACAAATACTTCAAGATTACATTGTTGAACTCCTAAATTACCTAATGTATCCTCAAGTAGCAGTTTCAGCTCATTTTTTGTGGTTTGGGAGGGGGAGGGTATGGAAGTGGAAGGGGGATTTCTTGAAATCAATATTTGGCAATAAACATAGCTCAAATTCCCACTAAGAAGTGTTTGGGGGCTCTTATTAATAGGTTAGGGATAACATAAGGCTGAGGATCAAAAACATTTGGCTTTCAAAGGCCTCTTACCCTCTAATTGGGATGAAATAATTGTAACCCGACCTTTCTGGTGATGGATCACCAGATTGCTTCCAGTGGTCCTCTGGAAGGTCAGAAGACAATTTTACTTCATAGCAAAGGTTGCTGTAGAGTAAAACGTCAGTTATCATGGAATACCAGTGTTTTAATAAATAAATAAAATAGGAACACTTTGGTGACCATTTATTCCAATGCTGTGCCCAGTGCAGAAATCCATTATTATTAAATGGCCATATGAAGGACACATACCTGCAAGGATTTGTTGTGAAAACTGAAAATGGCACCTGTTGTCTGAATTCTTCAGTAATGTTTTCAGTAAGTGGTGGCCTAAAAAAAGTATATGTGTATGTACATACATACATACATATGAAAAACACTACAGATTCTCAAAGCATCCTTTAATAACATAATCTTGTTATAGATATTAGGTCAAAGATGTACCTTGGTAAAATGGAGCCTGGACCAGGGTCTTCAGATCCAGGAACAAATACAAATCGACTTCTACAAATAATGAATGAATACATTTGATTTAATATTACTGGTGGGTATAAAATGAAATGTTCATTAAAATTTAGTGTAATGTTATTAACGATAATTAGGGTTTAAGAAGCTGGGGCAAGTAATATATGGCTTGAACTAGGCAATTCTCCTGGGAGTTCTCATCTGTAGAACCAGCCCTTCCAAAATAAAGTAAGGAGTTAAACTGAATGCAGCTTCTAGCAGCATCTACAACAAATTATGACACCAAAATGTTGACATGCATCTAGATGTCACAAATCCATTCCAAGTACATAGGTTAGGACCCTTGTATGATGTCACACATATTTGTATCATTTACTACCCACGATGTGCTCTTGTGGCCTCCAAGTCTGACACATAAATAGTTACAATACCTCTGGATTTTGTAGCTTCAGTTCCCAGCTAACACAATATTCAGTAGAATTGTTTGAGTAGAATTTTTAGCTAATTTACAAAATATATTAAGCTCAGTTTAAGTGTCCTTTTTTTTTACAGCCGAAATAAATTTCAAAATGGGGATGATTTCTATGTGATTAATGTGAGGAACCTGTTCTATAAAGATATTTCACCAAGCAAATCATATGGAACATACCTTTCATGGATAC